CGGGGGCCGGCGGGGGCCAGCCGCAGCGCCCGGGGCAGGGGCGGCTGCGTCAGCTCTGCCACGCGCGGGGCAGGGAGAGCGCGACGGGATCTCCGGCAGCGCAGGGATTCACTCGCAAAGAGCCACTTAGCACCTTCTGAACAGGAGCCACCGCCGGGTGAAAATGAACATGAACATGAACATGAACGTGCCTAGGGCAAACATGAGCAGCTGACCTCAGCAAGGAGGAATGCTGGCGGCATCAGTGGCCTGCGGCACCACATGGAGCTTCCTTTTTAAACCCTGCTTATCTGCTCAGCCCGGTGTCTCCTCATGGAGAAGGGAGAGCCCCAGCAGAGAGAAGGCACCTGCTGGCGGTGCATGGGCAGCGTCAGGGCTGCCTGCGCCTCCTCGCTCACTGCCCGGCTGTGCAGATGAACAAGCTTGCTGTCAGCTAAAGCATAAACTGGGACTAGTTAAGGGCCAGATGTTACGCAGGGATTTTGCAACATGACGTCTTTTGGACGGAGATTGCTCAAGCAGCATGCCCTAAAAGGACCTCGCAAGTGCCCGGCAGGCACTGAGGGCGCTTGGCTGCTATTTTCTGGCATTTATTCCTCTGGCCTCCTCCCACACTAACTGAGTGCTAATTGACACACGCCAGGGGAAAGTGATAGGGCTCCTGGCAGGAGCTGAAATGCTTCAGGGCCTCTGGGGAGGAGCAGCTGCTGCTGTGGGACTTGCTCAGGGTCACACGTGCTGGGCACAGACTGCCCCACACACTGCAGTTTGGCCCCAGGGAAGACTAGGTTTGCTTCTCACCCCCAGCCTTTTATAGTTAATTTTCTTTTCGCAAGCATGAATACCTTTTTAAATACATCTGCCTTGGGGGAGAGAAAGCTTCAGGGCACAGAAACCAAAGCTGCAACCCGCCAACAGGCAGACTGACTCCTGACTTAAACCCCTGCCCCAGAAGGAAAATTTTGCCAAGCCATTCAGACCTCCAGAGCAGAGAGGTTAATGGAGGTGTTCAAGGTCATTGCCGTGATCAATAGCGTACTTCCTTTTTAGGGCTTTTATTCTCTTATTCCTCATTTACTTGTGCAAGCAAAACAAGAGACAAAGAAATCACATTAACCTCAGTCAATGTTAGTGAATCACCTGATAAATAGAAGAGCCCTGCCTAGGTATTATGAACTGGCTAAACCAGAGCCGAAAAGATATTCTGGTGTCTATCCCTTATGTAAGTACCTAAATTGCTACTGAAATAACAGCAGTGTAGGTTCTGATATAGGAGGCCCCTAAACATCTTTGTGGACCTAGAAGAGATCTTACAAAACTTGCAGCCTCATTCCTGGATATGTAGATCAAATAAAACCTGGCTCTGGTTTCTCACGGCTGCGGTGGGACAAGGTAAGCAGTGGGGCAATGTGAGCAGTGGGGCAGCCTCCTCTTCACCAGGATCCTCTGCTCAGCCCAGGCCTCAGTTGTAAGTTTTCCCTGTACGGTGCCAGATGCATCGAGGCACCTGCCCACCCATGGCAATGGTAACAAAATCCCTTTCCTTGATTCTTCTGCCATTCTAAATCCATCCGTGTCACCGGAGGGATGAAATACAGGCTTGTTTAGAGCACGCAGCAAAGGGGAGCTTGCCCTAAGCACAGCACCACAGCCAGAGCCGGCAGACGGGCTGGAAGGGACTAGTCCATCTTCCTGCTGCACGGAGTGACCGAGCTACCCACCACGGGGAAGGCGTCTGTTTAACCTGCTTGTTAAGCCCTCAGGGGTAGCGATTCCACAAGCTCCTTCTGCAAACTACTTTGCTGCTTATTTTCTTCTACTGCCAGAAAACTTCTACCCTAATGCCTAATCTGTCGCTCTCTTATGCAATTCAAGCAAATTACTTCTTGTTCTGTTTCCAAACTGTGATCTGCTAGAGCAAGAAGCATTTAATGAAATAATTCACATATTCACAGGATCAGCAAACTTCCCTAAGTGCTGCCCTTGTCACAGAGATTAGGAAAATAAAGATGAAGAAGAGCTAAGGCTATAACAGGGCCACTCCAAGGGGCTACTGCTCCTGATCAAGTAAATACATCTGCATAGAGATCAGTGGATCTTACAGCAAAATATCTGCACTGAGTACATAATTCCTGTTTGAGTTACAGCACATCTATTCCAAAAATCTGTGGAATTGGGTTAAAGACTGTAAAAGATGCAGAATCCATTGTAACTCTAAGTAAGTAGGTTGTTCCAGTGTTAATGCTTCTTGCACTTTAATTCTGGTTTGGTTTGCTTAGCTTCAGTTCCCAAACACAGCATCTCATTGACTTCCTCTTCTGTTAGATTAAAGAACAGTCTTTAATCTGGCTGACAGCAACCCCTTCCCCATGTACGTGCATGCTTACTGCAGCTCAGACATCGCTTAACTTGAATTGTTCACAGCAAAGAGTATCTTCTGGAACTGAAACAGCCTCTCAGCTGTTTCCTGAACCCTCTCCAATTATTCCATTTTCTGTTTGAAGTGTGGATGAGACACGCTCCTCCAGTAGTAGGCTCCTAAATGACATGTGGTGATAATAACACCCACATATTTTTGAATTATATCCTTATACTAGCAGGCACTCAGGATAATGTAGATTTACATAGTATGTTATTTATGTTAATTCAACTTCATAACTATAGCTTATTTCTCCAGTCTTGCTGTAGAAAGCTTTTAAACTTAATTACATTCTGTTGGTAGAAGAAATCCGTGGGGATTTGCAAAGCTGTGCCTGACGTAGAACTCTGTTAATCGTAATAAAATTTTTCATGTGAGTGCTTTTTTTTTGTGCTTCAATATATTCCAATTATAGTAAGAATCTCTGGCTTAAGGTGACAGTTCAAAATTCCAGCAATGAGCCAAACTGAGCTGCAAAAGCCACAGGCCTGTTGTGCACCATGGAAAAGGTGCTCCAATTTAGTAACAAGAAACAGGTCAAAGCGACAGGGAGCACCAGAGCTTGGACACATGCAGGCAGCCACGACTTAGGCACTACTTTAAGCTGCATGATCCTTTGATAAACCCTTAAACTGCAAGAGCTGGGGGAAAATTCACCTCCCTCTAGACTGAGAAGCTTCCAGGTTCATTTGGATTTGCTCAGGCTGAGCAAATGCATTTGTGCTGTCTTCACGTGCTGTTAACCCTGAGTCCTGCTGAGCCGTGGGCTGGAAACACCTGCAGTGCCCTGGGCAGCAGGTTATGAGCTCTCGAGCAGAGATGGTGGGTGAACATTTTCCAGTCCCTTAGCTGGTCTAGTTCACAGTCACGGATCCCAGCTTCCAGCCCTGGCTAAGGTGCTTTCACCTGGGTTTACTAGACACAAAACTGGAAGCTTGAGAGCCCTAAGGCGGCAAAAGGACTCACAGCCCAGCAGGCGCAGGAGAGCTGCTTATAGCACCTGCCTAGAAATCTGCATTTCTGCCTCTGCTGCCTCCACGGTGTGTGGGCAGCAGGTTGCTGCCACCTGCCAGCACCACGCTGCGCGTCTGTGGAGCAGCCAGGGGCTCAGCTTATTGCTCTCCATCCCCTGTGTGACACTGTGACTACAGGAGCAGGTTTTGCCACCTAAAACATTCCTTTAGCCAGCCACCTTGTAATGAAATGCAAATAGGAAACCTCTGGCCGCCTTTAAGGCAAACAGTATCAAGGCAATAATGTACAGATTAAAAGTACGTTAGCTCCTGGGCTACCCCCCAGGGACTGCCTTAAGCACTCTTGCATGTGTGCTAGCTAACAGAGGAGCAGCCACACTTACTATGATTCTTTTTTTGCTGCCGAGTGCCATGCACACCAGAGAGTAAGAAGTTTTTAAAGAAGTATTTCCAATCACCACATCCAAATTATCTAATCAGAGGAATGAAATAGTAATCACTTTCAGCCCTTTCACATAGTACCTTAAATTGTCCAGACTTCTAGTAACCATTAAGTAGCCTAACTGGAGTCTGTGATAATAGATACTCCGATAAAAAACATCCAAATATCACCGAGGTCCCTTCACCCCTCCTCTTTTCAAGCCAGAGTGAGACAATGAGCTTTACATAGTCACTTGCAAGTACTTCAGAAAAGAGCTTCACAGGCTACTCCCTAAACCCCTGGCATCAAAACCCCCTGCTCCCACCTGGCTCTTGAGGATTCGTCCCCAAGGCAGCCCTAGGGAGAGGGCGAGAGGGAAATGAAGCACTGAGGGGGACAGACTCACCCAAGGTCATGCAGCCAGAGCACCAACCTTCACCCAAGCCTCCTAGCTGAGTTTCCTTACCCTCACCAGCGGCCCACCTGCTTAGACATTAAAGACGACATTTATATACTTACATAGTTGTATATACTTATTTCTATTGTTCACAGGGCCAGACACCTTAGGACCAAAAAGGCCTTGACTGATCATTCAAAGTGCATAGATTTTCAGACAGTCATTTCTGCACTAAACCTACACTTTCTGCCTGAAGGTCCAAAACATTTGGAGACTTCCAATAATGGAGAATCAGCAACATCACTCAGTAGTCTGTAGTCATATTTACAGTTAAAACTGAGCAATATTTCCATTTTGAATTTATCCAGCTTCAGATTTCAGCTATTAGATGCTTGCCATTGTCTGTTAGTTTGAAAAGCCATCTCTGTCTGGCACTTCTCTCCCCACCTGAACACTTATTTTCATTGATCAGACTCACAGGATCATTGCTTACAGAATTATTTAGGGTTTTGCATAGATGGCACTTCTTAGGTCCTATGATAAGATAGTTTTTTTCAACTGTCAAATAAATACTGCAGCTATTGTAGCTCTGAATCCTGGAACATTTACCTCCAGGCAGGTCAGTTCTTTTAAGAGCACTGGTTAGATGCACCTACGAAGCCCTGCATTACTGCACTATGTGCATCTCAAAACCTCCTGGCATTCGCTGATGAGAAATGAGAGGAATCAGCATCCCACGTTGGTAGTGCAGTACCTGTCCTGAGCCAGTGAGCAGGCAGCTTTTACCTTGATAGTATTGCCAAGCCCTTGGTCATCAGCTAGCACAGTTTGGTCATCTTCCTGGTTACTCGTTAAAGGACCTGCTCAGAAAACACCCATGCTCGTGGGCTCTTTTTCTTGCCTGTTTGGCTCCAAATTGAGTAACTATGTGTTTTCTGTGTGGCAGGGCCTCTGCGAGGGGAGCAGGAGGGAACTGGTACACCATGTTTGGAAGAGATGCAAGACTTGGATGCAGAAAGCCATCATTTGCCTCTGAGCAGAGGAAGGATACCCATGTCTCACCTCCTCTTCCAACTTGATGACCTTGGCTTGGGCGTTGCTTAGAGCCTGGTCCAGGATTTCGATGTGCCTCCGCTGATCCTCGTTGGCAGAGCGCATGGCTGCCAACTCCATCTCCAACTTCTCCTTTTCCTTCAAGTGCTCTTTGTCTGGAAGAAAGACAAGAACAAGAGCTGCTCTATGAGAAGAGCTCACAGGCTGTGGGCCACAAGCTGGCACCTTCCTAGGACAGCAAAAACTGTACAAAAGAGTGGTGAGTGTGGCCCTTACAACACAGCACTTGGGACCTAGCAGTGCTCAGCTGTAATGCACAAGGAGTTTCTACTGCCAAAACCTGCCTTCTCCTTGCCCGTTTTTACATGTAGGCCAATGAGAGACAAGTGGTAGCTCAAGTGGTACGAACACGGTTTGTGCATCCGAGTGCTATCTTACAACTGTGTCAACTGCTGAACTTTGAGCACAATCCTCAGCAAAGGTTTGTCTTGTGGCAGCCACCCCTTTCCCAGACATGGCTCAGGCCCTCCTTGGGGGCTGTATAGAACAAGGACTGTTTATAGCTGTTAATTTGGATGCTATTATCCTGCTATAAGAAACAAGAAACCTTGGCCATGCGGATGCAGGCAATGCCATGCTCAGTCCATACTATTTGCAAGGACAGGGGTGCCTCTGGTGATCATGGGGTACAAAACATGTGAAGGAGTCAAATAATAAACATAAATCTGGGCTACATGGCTTGAACATTGAAGAAAGTGAAAGCAATAAAGGAGAATAAGATAGAGTGATGATGACCCTCGTGTGCTGGAGGCTGCACAAAACCTTGAGCTGAGCAGAACGTGAGGGAAAAGGCGCCTTGGTCCTCCATGTGGGAGAGTCCGTGGGGCAGCGATCGATGGGCCAATGTATGGTCAGTGAGCAGCACATCTGATTGCCAGGAAGTAAAAAGGCCTCTTGCAAATTTTTGAGGAACAGATTAACTTCTGAGTGCTTTCTGTGAGAGCTAATGAACGGGGCCTGGCAGAGAAGCCTCCCAGATCCTTTTCATGGATCCTCTGAGCTCTGGGTCTCTCTTCAGTTACTGAGAGGACAATTATCCTCTTCAAATGGGCTTTTTCTGGCCATATAGCCTCAAGGGGCCATGGAGGCACTTGCAGAGCTTGGTCAGGGCAAGGAATGTGCTCTCTAACCCTGCTAGGATCCTGGTCCTGGAAGAGAAGACCAAGAGGAGATCTGATCAATATGTACAAATACCTGAGGGGAGAATGTAGGGAGGATGGGGACAAACTCTTTTCAGTGGTGGCCAGTGATTAGTTGGTGCCAAATTATTTTTTGGAGATTTTTTCCTTCGTGGAGGCTGTCCAATACTCTATTTTTGTTGTGATTTAGAATGAAGGCGAGATTTTGAAATCTCAGATTTAACTGGATGAAGCCTCCATCTCCTGCTCCTTCTGTTTTTTAATTGCACACAGTGGGATGGCAGATCGCCTTCATTCTAAATCACAACAGAAGCAGAGTATCTGGAAAGCCTCCACGAAGGAAAAAATCTCCAAAAAAATAATCTGGCACAATTAATCATTGTTTTGATTTTGACTTTTTAAACATAGCATTACAAAATGTATTATTTCTTAGCCAAAGTGAAAAGCTGCTCCAAAAACATGAAAACATGGAAAGTCTGCCCCTAACATCCAGATTGCCCCACCCTAGCGTGAATACTCAGGTTAGAAATCCCACTACCCCACCTTCCTCTGAACTTATCAAGGAGGAACAAGAAACTTCATAGGGGCAGTGCCAGCCCGTTCAGTCTGGAGCCTCCGTCTGGAAGGACCTTATTCTTCCTTAATTATAGGTGGGATGAGAACAAGTTAATTTACATACTACTATAGGCATCTACATGAGGAGAGATGACAGAACAAGGAGTAATGGGTACGAATTAAAACTCGGGAAGTTCCATCTCCATGTGAGGAAGAACTTCTTTCCTGTGAGGGTGACAGAGCCCTGGAACAGGCTGCCCAGAGAGGCTGTGGAGTCTCCTTCTCTGGAGATCTTCCAAACCCGCCTGGATGCCACCCTGTGCCCCATGCTCTGGGTGTCCCTGCTGGAGCAGGGGGGTTGGAGTAGATGATCTCTAGAGGTCCCTTCCAACCTCAACCATCCTGTGATTCTGGGTGAATACAAGACGAATCACGTGGAACAAGACACATGTGGACAAGGTGAGGCCAAATCCATTCCTCTATTTACTCTAAAAGGAAGTACTCATCACTTCACAAAAATCAGACCCCGACAACCCTGCACAAGCCAAACACACCAATCCCTGTGATCTCTATGCCATTAATTTGCACCAGGAGACACCTGAATATGACTTGACCTGAACTGTACCACACCGACAAGAACTCTAAATTGGATATGCAAGCTTCTTTCTTCCAAACAGATACATTTACTTCAAACAGATCCACCAGAAGAGGTGTTAATATGCCTTGCAAGAAAGTGTAAACCCAGACAAATTATCAAGCAGCTAATTTCATTAGAGGGTGAGGGAACTGAAATATGAATGCTATTTCAGTCCAGTGGCATTAAACTGTCATGTGTTGGGACCACCCTTGCTGCGGTGGGGATTTAAAACATATACTATATGAGGACAGTGTACACAGTGTATGCAAAAGCAGGACTTGGGAGCTTCCCTTTCACCTTCCATCAGTGGCACTTGAAGCTGCTTGCCCTCTTGTGTTAAGTTTTTTATTCCCTCTAAAAAGACAGATGAGGTTATGTCATTCACAGAATGACTGCTGAAATCCACTGAAATCCACTGAAAAGCTGGCAAGAATCATTTTCTTAACAGCTTGCTTCCCCACATCAGCTTTTCATTGAAAAATGCTGGGGGTACCTTCCTGAATTGCATTAATTTTTGATAAACGGCTTTGTTGAACATACCTTAAATTCTCTTCAAGTCCATAAAGCCGAATACCTTTATGTCTGAAGTCGAAAAATACTGTTTTATTGTGCTACACGTGGCCTATACTTTATGAAGGAAGTTACTTCTACCTGTGGTATGTAAACTATTAGGTTTATTAGCCCATAGTCTCCTAACTATTGGAGTATTTCTGTTACTCCTAATTTTTCTGTTGTTCTCATGGGTCAGTTACCGCATCCCATCAAGGAATTGTTCCCAAAAGGCTTCTTTCCTGCTGCTTACAGCTGTAACCTTGCAGCTTTCCACCTCTGGTTGTTGTATTTTAATACACCAAGAGCATTACACCTATATTCTGTGTCTGTGGGTAAAACAAAGAGGAGATAAAGCAAAGAGCCTGGTAAGGCACTTCCCAACCAAGCATTCTGAGCCAGCAAATGGTTAGTTGCACCAAAACAGACCGGGCTCGACCCTGCTTTGAAGCAGAAATATTAGACAGAAAGATGCATTCAATCTATGCCACCCCTCCCCTACCACCAGATATAATCCCAGTTTTGCACTGGGATTTCACACGGATCACATGCTTAATGAAAGCTTTTAATCAGATCAATCTTGGGAGAAAAATGAGATACATTTTTATTAGTGTACCATTTCCCTGTATCAGCACGTCCTCAGAGTCACCTATAACTACATTATATCTAAGTATCAACTTGGTTGACTAATTTATGGACCATACCAATACATCCTAAATTTTCTCCTTGAAGTGCTACCATGGAGTGGCAACACCAACATCCTGTAAAGACACTCCTGGTTCCTACAGGGTGATCACTGTTAGCAGAACAAAATTACTTCAGATGGTGGCAGCGAGGGCAGAATTTGGCTCCAGGAAGTTCTGCTGAAATAAGACTCACTTTCACGCTATGTTCCTTGTGGAGTTTCCAACTATTTATCTTATGCACGTTTGTATTTCTAGTTTATCGCTCCTTCCTTACAGCTGTTAATTCCAAAGAGGCTCTCTAGTGACCTTGCCTTTCCTAAGCAAAACCTGTGGGACGTATTTAGCCTCTCGAGAGCCTTGCAACTCCTGACACGGCAAGTGTGTGGATGGGCTCTGCCATCAGCCATCTACAGATGCAGCTGCTGCCGGCTCCTCCTGGGTGGCTTGTTCACCGGGATGTGTGTTGGAGAACATGAGCTGCCTCTTCTGCTCATTCAGCCCCTGCTCATTTAGCTTGGAGCTGAATGGCCAACTTGAGTTGGCCTTTGACTTGGCCAACCCAACGGGCCCAACCTTCCAATGGTGTTGGGGTGATGGGTCACTGGGCTGGAGGGCCAGATGGACCCTCGAGGCCCGTGGCACCATCCACTATGTCAGGCTGAGAGACAAATATGGAAGGACAAGCAGAAAACTAAATGCAACAGGGTCTTTTTGTCTCCTCTAAAGACCTTTCAACAACCATTTTCCACCACATGAAACACCCGAACAAACAGATCCCATTCACTCAATTCCTCCTCCCAGAATTAGATTTTTAATAGATTCTTCACACCTTAAACAGGGTGAAGTTGCTGGGTCCTCAGAGAGGAGTTTCCCTCCAGAGAGCTGGAACGTAGTCAACAGCAAAGCAAAGACCCCCCTGGCCCAAACCCAGCTGTGCTGCTGGGCGCAGATGAAGACTTGGTTAGGCTAAGCCAGGCCTGAGGGAGAAAGCTGAACTGGGGAATCAAGCATTTCTTTTTGCCCTCACTGTCCAAAAAATAAAAAAGGAAGATTCCAATGGGCACCCAAAGTTTGTCAGGCCAAGTCCACAGAAGGTGCCTACATTGAGAGGCTGAACTAAACAAAAGATCACATTGAGAAGAGAGCTCATGGCTGGAAAAGCAGTAGTAAAACCTCAGAGGGTCAGAGCACTGTTTCT